TGTTCAGGCTCCTCTCTATGTGGGTGGTGGGGGCAGCTGCATCCCCGAAGCCTGCATGTGGGTGGTTTCTGGCTTCAAGGAGAAAAAGTTGCCCCACCAGAAAGGGGGAGGGGAGAGGCAGAAAAGGGAAGTTGAGAGAGACAGGGGCAGGAGGTGAGGGCCTGGAACAGTTTGCCTCCAAGACCCGAGAGCACCAGGCTTTCTCCTATCTGTTTCTGCAGATGCTGTGCAAGGCACTTTCAGAACAGTCTCTAGCCAGCCTCAGACTCAGGGAGGAAGAAGTACTCAAGCATCCTGTGGGAACAATGATGGGAGTGGAGAGATAGCTCGTCAATGAAGCACTAGCCAGGCAACACTGAGGACCTGAGTTCGATTCCCAGAAACTACACAAAAGAGCCAGGCTTGGCGGTGCGTGCTTGTAATACCAACGTTGGGGAGGTGGAGACAGGAGGATCTCCGCCCTGCTGGCCCCCCACCCAGTCTGTTTGGCAAGATTCAGATCAGTGAGAGACTCTTGTCTCAGGAAAAGTGGGTAGTACCGGCAGAAGGACACCTGAGGTTGCTCTATGACACGCAAATGCACACGCACATGCACACACACACACACACACACACACACACACACACACACTCATGCACGCACGTGAGCCTACACACACACTACTCTTAGTTTTACTGCCCTCTGTTTGAGCCAGCTAAGGAGGCCTGCTAAGTAGAGCATTGCTTGCCAGTTCACAAAATGTCATAGAGGACTAGAAGAGTGTCTTTGTTAAGTCTGACCCTAAAATAAATTAGATCCAATAAATGTAATCCAAAAGAATAGTAAGAAGAAAGGAATTTTTGTTTACCTCACTTACCTAAAGTTGTTGTTTTATTGCTGTTGTTATTATTTTATTAGTTCTTTGATGATTTATACGTGTTTACAGTGTGTTCTGGGTATCTTCCCCCGCTCCTATCAACCTCCCTCCTCTCTCTCTGTCACTTTCCCAGATTCATGACTCTTGGGTTTATTGTGAGACCCCTTTATTTATGCGAGTCATCTGTGTGACTGTGGCACTGGGACTGTCTTTGGAGTCTGGTGTGGTCACCAGCAGGAGCACCACTGAAGGCGGTAACTCTCCTTTCCATGAATGTATCCCTAGGAAATAGTTCAGCAGGGAGAAGTGGGGCCCCAGTCCCCGCTCCTGCAGCCCCTCCCCCGTGCTGTTGTCCACAGCTTTGATGGAAACAGTAGGCTCTGCCTCCATAAGCGTGATCTAATGGAACTTTGATCCATCTTCAAGAAAAACTGAGCTGCCTTTTTGAGAGAACATTCTGCTAAGAACCCAATTTCTGAGGGAGAAAACGGCTTCCTGCTTAGCCCCAAATGGCTTTGGCCATGATTAGATTTCAGTGTGAAAAAATTGGGGCAGCCTGTTCAAGGCAAGAAGGTGAGGAGAACGGGGACTCACGAGGACCTGGGTAATTATAGGTAAGTCACCAAACACCCCTGAGCCCTGTGTCCCCATATGGAACTAGAGGAATAAAGAGTATGTGGCCTCCTGATACTGCCCCACCCAGATCCCCCTCTCCAAAGGTCTCACCACACTGGGGACCTGAGGACATGGCAGAGCAGTGCCAGCCCTCTTCCCATATCCCATCCCCGTGTCCTCCTGGCTCTGTGGAGAGTCACATATGACACTCACCCTGGCTTTCCTGCCTTCCTCTTTGCCGTCTCTGTGTTAACTCTGAGGGTCACACCAGCAAATGGTAAACAATAAAACAACAACCAAGAGACTTTGCTTACAGCGGCAAAGGGCTGGGACGGTCCGCTGTGGTTTGAATTTGGAATGTTCCTCATAGGCTTAAGTATCTAAACACTTGATCCCTGGCTGGTGACACTGTTTGGGGAGGTTGTGAAGCTGTGCAGAGCTGGAGCCTCAGTGGAGGAAGTGAGTCACTGGAGGCGGGCCTTGAGCTTTATAGCCGGCTCTACTTCCTTTTCACTCTCTGTTTCCCTAGTACAGATGCAGTGTGATCAGCCAGCCGCCAGCTCCTGCCCCGACACCTTCCCTGCCTGCTACCCTGCCATCCCTCCATCCTGCCATCCCTCCATGATGGACTGTGTGGTTCTGAAACCATGAGTGGAGTGAACACTTCCTCTTTAAATTGTTTCTGTCAGGGTGTGTTGTCACAGAAGTGAGGAAGGAACTATGAGACTCCCTGCTGTGTCCCCACACTTAGCTCTGTGCACCTCACCAAGAGAAGTCACACGCTGAAAAACACTGTGCACAGAAGTGCTCACATTTGCACGTGCATCTGAGTGAATCTTGGAGGGGTGTGTATGTAGCCGGACAGCAGCACACAACCCATCCATCCTGTGTCCCGAATTATTGATGAGAAATAATTCGGGTATGACTCAAAAATCCCCATTCTGTTGGCTCCAACTTGAGTCAGAGAAGCTCTTTAGGAAGAAAACAAGGGTGTAAGTGAGACGTACTTGTTTTCCGGTCTGTCATTTCGCTTGTGTTCGCTGACAAGTTCACTTGTCTAAACTTGTCAAGAGCTTCGGTCTTCTGGAGGAATCGACTCTTGTTCATCAGGTCCGGGCTCCCCATGAGGGGCTTTCCTTTGCCACCACCAGTGGATCTCTTTCCAAGGGTGTGGACATGCCACCCCTTTAAACGGCCGCTGTGCTCGTCCTACGGCTGATGAGGCCGACCCCCAAACATCCTCATCCACACATGTGTTACTTACTGTAACCTGGTTGGCAGTCCACATGAAAGGGTGTGGTGGTCACCACTGGGGCCCTGAGGGGGATGAAGGTAGAGCCCCAAAAGCAATGTGAGCAAAAAGAGAGAAAAGGTGGTGAATGGAGAGGAGCGAAGATGAGGAAGAGGATGGGAGGAGAATGGCGAGAAAAGAGATGGGGAGCAGGGGAAGGAGTGGGTAGAGTGGGAAAGAAGGAGGGAGACAAGATGGAGGGCGGGGAGAAAGAGGAAGGGGGAGGAGTTGGAGGGAAAGAGGAAAGGGAGGCATGGGAGAGGAGGCCAAGGAAACAGTTAGCACAGACATGACCTCACAAACGCATCTCAGTTTGTAGAGCAGACATTGCAAAGCTGCCATCTTCACAGTTATAAAATATACATTATGTCATTTTCAGCTACAGCCACTATGCTGTGAAGATCTCAGAAAACTAATTGCTCCCATTCAACTGAATCTCTGAACCCTTTGACCAAGATCTTCCCGTAGCTGCCCTATCCCAGCCTGGGGTGACCGCCCTTCTGCTCTCTACTCTACTGAGGACAGACAACGGTTTTAGACTCCACACACCAGTGAGTGCAGGCAGGATCTGTCCTTTCCTGTCTTTCTAATGTTCTCCACCTTCACTATATTGTTACCAAGGTCAGGATTATGTTCTTTTGTGGCTGCAGAGTGTCTCACCCATTCTGTGTATAGCCACGCTGTCCTCATCCATCCATCCTCCAGTGGGCACCTAGGCTGCTTCCATAGCTTGCTGCTGTGACTGACTCTGTAGGGGTCATGGAAACGTAGTTATGTGCTCCACTTCTGTTTAAATCCTGATGTATATGTGCCAAGAATGGAGTTGTGCAGGCTTAGAAACAGGCTGTGTGTGCATGTGTGAGCTTAGGTATATGTGAACACATGTCCATGTATTTTTATATCTCCTATAACTATAATGTTGCAGCAAGCACAATTTTGTGCTCTTCTGTCCCTTAGAAATATATTCTGAATATTTGTGTGTGTTAAATCTTTAATTTACTGCCCCTATGCCTAGGTGTTGGTATGCTGTGACTCATTTCTCCTTACTAGGCATTCGGGAACTTTGCATATTTTTCCATTTTAAGTAACCTGCCAGGAATGTCTTTCCAGATCAACCTTTGTGATTTGCCTTGGAATGAAGTTACCGGATCAGAGGGCATTTACGTTTTAAGCCCTAACTGTGTTTAGAGTGAGAGGCTTAAGCACAATCGGGAATTTCCAATAGAAGCAAATCCAATTGTCTTTTGGGGGCTGGAAAATGTCTCGCAGGGGCCACCACAGGAGGTAGCTATGTCTGCTGTACTGACTCATCTACGCATAGGCTCATGCACACACCTTACAAATGTGGTCTTTGAAAACAGCCTGGAGAGCTTAGTTGCCCCCACCACTACCATCCACTCCTCCTCCACTAACTGGAACTACTGCTGGGCTCAGCGGATCCCAGCAATGCCAGCCATCCGCTGATCCAGAGGGACTGCTCAAGCTCTAGACAACATACAGCTGACCACAGGCTACCATCTGTGGACTTCTGGGATTTTGCCCAGGAGGCATTCACCTGTAAAAAATGCCACAGGTCACACCACTAGCTTCTAGAAAGAAAGAAAAATAAAAGATACCTTGTGTTCCCTTCCCCGTCTCTCTTTCTCCTGTTCCTAAATCCCCATGGATAGGTGCTGATAGACACTGAGTCCAGGATCCCACCTCTACACCACTTCCCATGGGACATTCACCACATCAAGAAGTCAGGGACTTTTGTCAAACCAACACAGAAGGCTTTCTCTGTCATGGCCACCATCTCATGGCTCAGATGTGAGCCCTGCTGGCCATCCTGCATGTTCAGGTTCTTCTCTTGCTTTTCTGATGTGACAAGACACGGCCCTCTTTATTCTGACCCATGGTTTAGCCTCTTCTTAGCCCTCTGAGGGCATTAGCTGTTAAGTGTATTAACAGAATGTTTCTGAAGACAGGAAGCACCCAGCCTCTCCAGGTAACCACAGGAAGTCACTAGATATAAGCAAGGATGAGGAGGTTCAAGAGATGGCAGGATTCTGGTGCACTGGAACATGTGTCCTGTGAGAACAGAGCTTGCTCCCAGAGTAAGAGAGAATCATCTCCCAAGATGATTCTTTTTTCTACCCTGAACAGGGCTGGATAAACGTGACAACTTAGAGAGAGAGAGCAATGTTGTGAGGGCAACCCAAGTGGCTTTTGATGGAAGAGCTATTCTCAAATTTTAGAGCACAGTAAAAAAGTTTAATAAGGTGTCCAGCTCAAAATAAATCAATAGCTTTGCTTTCTACCAACACTGACCTGGAGGAAAATGTCACAGGAGGAGAAGTCCATGCCCCAACCCAACAACCAAGACAATAACATCAAGGAACATTCCCCAGGAGGCATGTGAAGCCCTGGATGAACACTTCACGAGGTCAGAGAAGATGGATCTTATTCCTTAAGAACAAATGACATTAAAATCCCCGTGGCCCAGGTGTGTCTGTGTTCCCTGGACCGGATGCAGCTCTCCTTATGCTCAACTGCTCTGCTGTCCGTGGTCACTGTGCTGTGAGCCAAATGATGGTGGACGCTGTCCCATCCCTGTTGTGTTCTCATAGACATCCGAGTTTCTGGTATCCAGCAGGGATCCATAAATAATTGTCCAAGTTAATCAGTAAAGATGAGGATGAGTCTATGCTGTTATAATCGGACCTCCAGAGAATCTGAGGTTAAGCTCTGGAATGCAAAGAATGGTTGTGTACCCCAGTGGCTCTGAGGCCACTGGGAGTTTAATTCTCCCAACATTTAAATCTTAACACTCAGCCATCCTTCCTGCCCTGGGGTAGAAAGAGGTGGCAAAGAATGCTTCAAAGAATGCTGTGAAGATAGACAGCTCCTCTGATTTTTTTAAAGCAGTGCTGTGGGTGAATGAGACTCTTGGAAATGTTCTAGAGACTTCTTCCAGGGATGCATCCTCAACTGCAAGGTTGATTAATTGGCAATGTAATGAAGGAGACACCTTTTATCTGAAGCCAAACTAGCTCAATGACCATAGCTCTTCCTGACTTCCTGGAGTGCAGGAACCCCAGTGCAATCCACACAGTCCTTCTGGAACATTAGGAAGGAAGAAGCAACCACTCAGAATAGAAGCCTCACCACTCAGAGAAGCCCAGAATCTAATGGGAGAGAAAGAAAGAGAGACACAGACACAGAGAGAGACAGAGACAGAGAGACAGAGGCAGAGACAGAGAGACAGAGAGTTTTGCACATACAAAAGAGATGTTAGTTGTGAAGAAATCCAGATGATGGGCCCAGGAGTCAGGAGGTGGCTGGTGAGAACCGCCAGGAGTTTTAGGAGCCGGAAGTTCTCTGTTAAGCCTGGCATGTGAGCAGGGGATTGTGTCACTCAAGAGAAGGGAACCTCCACATGCAGTTCTGAGCTGAGGGTGGGAAGCAGCTGTGGGGGGACGTTTGGGGTTCTGCTGAAAGTCAAATGTGATATGCAGAGATCTCCAGGAGACTTGGGTGAGGGCTGGAAACAAGAGGACGTCTTGGTGAACCCTGTAGGAGATTCCAGGAGGGAGCATCTGATACAAAGGCTACCCGAACCAGCAGGACAGACCACTCTGGTGCTCAGAAGCCTGAAGCATCTGCGGCCTGGAATGCAGCCACAAGTTAACTAAAGACACGCAAAGGAGGAAGAGCCACAGATAAATGCTGCATCAAAGTGTGTGGTTGTCTGAGCAACACGGAGAAGGGCTGAGGGAAAGCATGGTCATGTCCACGGCTGGGTTTGTCAGGACTCTGGAGGGCAAACTTGCGAGCCAAAGACAGAAATACTAGGGGACAGTAACTTGTTCCCATATACGACAATTAGAACACATTGATTGAACAAGAAAGTGGCATTCCTCAATGATGCAGGCTCCCTTGTCAACCGCAGGGGAAGCGAAGGCTGAGAAGGTGAGAGCCCAACACAAGGGCCGCGATCCATGCACAGATAAGGTGCCCTTGGCTTTTGTGATGAGTAGTGTTGCCAGCTCAACAGACTCTACAGTCACTGGGGATGTGGGCCTCCGAGCATGCCTGTAGGGGATCATCTAGACCAGCGGCTCTCAACTTAGGGGGGTCGAATGACCCTTTCACAGGGACTGCATATCAGATATTTACATTATAATTCATAACTGTAGCTAGCAAAATTACAGTTACGAATCAGCAATGAAAATAATTTTCTGGTTGGGGGTCACCACAACACGAGGAACTAGATTAAAGGGTCACAGCATTAGGAAGGTGGAGAATTGCTGTTCTAGACAATGCTAACCGAGGTGAGAAGACCCGTCTCAGCTGTAGGCAGAGTCATCCCCTGACTGGACTCCTGGGCTGTATAACATGGAGGATCCAGTTGAATGCAAGCATTAATACTTTCTCTCTCGACTGGATGTGATGTGACCAGCTGCCTCGTGCTCCTGCTCTGCAAATTTCTACACGGTGATGGACTGTAACACAGGACGGTGAGCTAAGAATCAACTCTTCCTTTCTCAAGTTGCACTAGTCAGGGCGTTTTCTCACAGCAACAGACACAAAAGAAGGCAGCCCTATTCTGCTCGTTCTCAGCACCTCTCCCGGCCCTCACACGCTGATTGAACAACCAGGGAGTCTATGAAGGGCTCTGGGCAGCCTGCCTCAGGGTGAAAGTGGTGCTCACAGGACCCAAAGCCAGGGAGAAATGAGCAGCTAGACAGGATTTGGAAGTCCTTAGGAGTATCCGAGTGGTGATAGTCAGAGCTTCACTAAATAGAATTTCTGGATCCTTGGATTCAGTCACCAGGCAAAGTGTGGCTGATGCGGTTAAGCATCCCTTAAGTGTGCCTGAAAAGACTCTTGACTTGGAGTTGGCAGATTTAAGAGAAATTCTATAGTGGAGTGTACTGTCAACACGAGGCTGCCTGAGCGAGGATGGTGTTCAAAAGACAGAGGGAAGACAACCTGCTTCTGCTCTTCCTGTGACACCCAAAGTGACATGGAAAGTGAGAAGCTAAAACACTCTCAAGCCCAGACTACCAAGTCCAAAGGGGTGCTGACTGATAAAGCTGGGGCGCTGCAGACCCATTCTGTCACCTGGCTGAGACAGTCGCTGTTCAGGACAGGGTTAGGGTGACAGCTGTGATGGACGCCACATCATCAAGCATAGTGCCTTGGTGGAGCACGGTCTGAAGCCCGTCGTTCACTCTGTCACTGTAAACTGGACCCACTCTGGCTCCCAACACAGACATCAGCTGAACACAGGACGCAACAGACACACGTCCTCCATCCACAGGGAAACCATCTTGCCTTCTTCTCCAGCCCCACAGCGTCAGAAAGCAGATGGGAGCTTCTGGAGAAGGCCTGTGTCCCTCGGAGTGTGGTTCCAGAGGATTATGCTCTTTAAATTAAATACCCACATGCATGTGTGCATATACATGTGTACGTACGTACGTACGTATGTACGTACACACACGGTGCAAGGTAGATGTCAGGAGAGACACAAACAAACATACAAACAACAAACAAACCTCTGACTTGGCATGATTAGCTTGGAGGCACGAAGAACAGAGGGACATATAAATCTCTGTCTGTCTCTACCTCCCCTTGCCCTCTCTGTCTCTCTCTCTCTCCCCCTTCTCTGTCTGTTTCCTTCTCTTCCTCGCTCTGTGTTTCTGACTCTCCCTCCCTTTCCCCTCTTCTCTGCCCACTTTTCTTCCTTATGTGTATCCATGAACACTTAACACACACGTAGACACTGGCTTTGCTCTAAAAGTCCACCACATTCCCACATACAAAACACAGCTGCGTTAGAGTCGCCGAGTTCCAGCTTCTGCTCTCTTGCAGGGCAGAGACACAAAAGACCCAGGGAGCAGAGGCCTTGCTCTCAACTCCACAGCTGGCTGTCCCAACACGGCATCCATGAGCCACCTGTGCCGGCTCAGCCTGTGACATGCTGGTGTGCTGGCGTGGAAAGCCCATGGTGGATTTTTGGAGATGCACTAAATAGCACAAAAATCCAGTGAACAGTGACTCTTATTAGTTATATAGTGAAATAGTGGTATTCTGAATAAACTAGGTTAAATATAATGTGTTATTCAAGCTAAGCAAGCCCATCCCCCTTTTCCCTACGTGTCCACCAGAATATTCACAGTCACACACATGGCCTCTATTCTGTTCCGATTGGAGGTGTCTATTCTCTAAATTTGAGACATTTAGTCCTTTGCGTTGTGATTTCCCTACCTGAGTCAAGTGTATTTTGTAGGTTCAAGGTCCTCAGAAAACAGAGCAGGATGAAATCAGTCACCGGCACAGCTATTGGGTGCTGAGTGTATTTGGTTAGATGATGGGAGTGCACATCCCTTTCCCTGCCAGGGTTTCTTCATTACTCAGACACCGCTAAGCCGTGACCTAAAGGAAATGAATGATGAGCAATCATTACCCTCTCCTTTCAGGAAGCACGAGGTGATGGCATGCATGGGGTGCAGTCCTTTGAGTTGCAAAACCACAAACTCATGAGCTATCAAATCTTTTTGCCATCCTATAATGCACAAGAATGACTGAAGGTAACCCATTTGCCAATGTCACTGGGTCACAGGGGTCAGACTGTGGGTGCAGCTCCTTGCAGCCAGCAGCCTCTCAGATGCCTCAGTCGATGGAGGAATCCGAACAGCATTCCCATTTGACACCAGCCCATTTTCTACATGTGACCCATTTTTCTGCGGGAAGCCAATTTAGGGAAGGAAGGCAATGAAAGCCTGGGTTGGGAAATTCATTGCCTTTCACTCAGAATGCTTCAGATGGGACATGACTGTGAGACACTGTCTCGCTTCTCATAATACAGGAAGCACCAAGACTTGACGATATTTCAACCAGGCTATTCACCTGGCTGGCAGGGGAAGACTGGAGAGGTACCTTTTTCAGCTGGAGCCTGTCCCTAAAAGCCTGTGACCTAAAAGAGGTCCTCCAGCCCCAGTCTGCCGGTTTCTGACTCAGTTATATAATAGGGCATCCAAAGACACTTAAGCAAAGACTTGCAAATACAAGCTTTGGCATGCCCTGCTTACATCCCTCCTGGGACTGACACTCCGGTAAAAATAAAATGTCGATGTTTGTTGGTGCCTCATCTGCTGCTCTCTTCTCTCCTCACAGCTTGGAGCCTCACAGCTTTGCTGTTTCTAAAGGGGAGGGGACAGGCCCTGCCCTTGAGCCTACAGCAGCCAGGTCTCACCTGCCTAGAGCCCCCTTCTCTTAGGTTCCGGCTCCCACCCCAGCTGTGCCCTTCTTGATCGAGTCCTAATTAGTACACCATTGTTCCACCTCCAGCTTGAAGTTATTAGCACATCCTACTTTCTTTGGGCACAGAGTTCTAGACAAACTCACCTTTCATATGCTTAGCAGTTAACTGTCTGTGTGTGAAGGAAATGATGTGTGTGTGCGTGTGCGTGTGCGTGTGCGTGTGCGTGACATACACAAACTGAGAAAGCTGGGGGAAAAGAGGAGATTAATATTTAGTATCTATGCAAAGGTTAGTTAGGTGTTATGGGTAAAATTAAGTTTCCCCAAATTCACATATGGAAGTCCTAATTTCTAGTACCTCAGAATATACGACCTTGCTTGAAAATAGGGTTTCTTCAGATATGACTAGTGGAGTGGATCCTTCAATGATATAACTGACATCTGTATAAGAAAGGAAAAATTAGGAGAGGATAAACCCGATGTTCAAGTTATAATTCTATGAGTAAAGTTTTTAAATTTAACAATGGAAATTTGGACACAGGCCAAAGTGCCATACGGAGACTGACCCGTCCCGAGGGCCAGGTTATTGGGGAGACCCGAGGAGGCACCTCCTGAAAGATCAATGGGGGCGAGAGAGAAAGGAGACCAGGCGCAATAAGGGAAGACAGAGTCAGTCTGAGTCGCGTCAAGGTCTCGTTTATTGACTGGGTGTTGAGGCTTATAAGCAGGGCTTCAGGCAGGGAGGGGGAGCAGGGGAAGCAGGGATAGAGAAAATTCCTAAGGGAGGGGTCAGGGGCGAGGTCGCTTTGATCCCGGGCCCCCTGCAGTTGACAGGCTCCAGAAAGTTTACCTAATCGCCATCTCCTGCAGTTAGGTCAGGAAGTTCTTATCTAGTCACATCTCCTGCAGTTAGGTCAGGAAGCTTTGTCAAGGCTTGACAAAGTCCAGGACATAGCTGTCCGGAGTCGGTCTCCCACAGTTCCCCCCCTTTTCTCAAAAATGGACCAAGTCCATTGTGATCGGGGTGGCTAGGGTCCGAGAGAGTCCCTGTCTTAGGCTACACAGGGGGCTTCCCACGCTCGGCAGCGTGCCATGTTGAGCCGGTCTCGACGACCTCTGTACGCTGTTGTCTCCGGCGTGAGCCCTGTACTATTCCCGTCATTGGGTACCCTCTAGCAAGACCGTGGGGACGCTAGGGCCTTAGGACACTGAATCTGAGTCCTTGATGGGGCTCCTGGCTGGCCTCCTCGGAATCTACTCTATGATAATGAATCGAGACGTGTCGTGGTGAGGCCGAATCAATCTGATTTTTGATAAACTGAGTCAACTGCTGAAAGGCCCAGGGACCAAAGGTAATGAGAAGGAGAAAAACAACTAAGGGGGCTAGAATGGTAGGTAGCAAGGTGGAGAGCCAGGGGGACCCTTGCAGCCAATTTTTAAACCACCTGTGCTGATTTTTAAACACCCTTTTTCTTTGGGCTAGCCTTTTCCTTAATTTTTCCATCAATTCCCTGACAATACCAGTATGGTCAGCATAAAAGCAGCATTCTTTCTTTAAGGCTGCACATAATCCCCCCTCCTTTAAAAATAGTAAATCCAGACCTCTTATGTTTTGTAACACAACTTCAGAGAGCGAGGTTAAAGATTTCTCCAGAGCAGAAATGGATCTTTCTATGGCCTCTAGGTCAGTAGTCATAGCCATTTGTAACTGCATAAGGTGGTTGCTCTGCACGAGGGCAGTAGTTCCTGTACCAATTCCTGCAGTGATACCCCCAATACCTAACAATAGGGCAATAGTCATAGACACAGGTTCTCGAGTGTATCTGCCTCTCTGCTCAAAGAATTCCATATCAGGGACTAATTGGACCAGAACATAAGAGCTTTCTCATTATCAATGGCAAAGCGAGCTTCCCCTTATTCAGTTTTTGCCATCTGCAAGTGTGTCATGGGTTCAGAGGTGGATATTGGAATTCTAGCATCCTCAGTTTAGTGGTACCCAGACATGAATCATCATTTAGTTAAGACATCAGTGATATAAGAGCCAACAGTAATTAGCAGAAGCACAAGGGACAAAAGCCTTGTGATGGCTGACAGAGTTCCTTATCCTCAAGGAACCTGGAACTTTATCTCAGGTTCCCTATGACAAGAAATTCCCTTTTGATCTAACATTCCAGGGGGAGGAAACAAGGGCGATGTTTTCTCTTCTATAATTACTTCCTGCTGACATTGGGACGTTGTTGTCAAGGCCCTGGAAAGCCAGAATGTTAGTCAAAGACAAGAGGGAACGTTTTATTGACCAGCTGAAGAGATGGTATGCATATCGACTGAATTGGTCCATATCAGCTTTCAGCAAGTTCAGGGCTCAGTCATTTGCAGTAGGTTGTCACCAGCAAATGATGCTTGGATGTATCTGTCAGCCAAGTGGAAACCTGTTGAGATAGATATAAACTAGGAACAGGAGTTAAAACTTACGAACTTATTTGGAACTTTTAGACCCATAGTCTTAGCAATTGTAGTATTATCAATTTGCCCTGAAATCCATAGTGTCTTTTCTATCTAGAGAGCCAAGAATAGATTGGACTGAATTTTCCTTGGCCCAATAAAAAGCATCTGTAAGTCTATATTTAGAACCTGTTTACCTTTTTTTTTTTAAAGAGACTTATTAGCTTTAATTAATTAATCCATTGATCAATCAATTACTAAGCTGAGAAAGCTATGGCTAGTCCAGTCATCAATGTCATCAAAGATCTGAGAATAAACTTTACCTGAGTGCAGACCTTTAAATCTAATTAAAAACAACAACAACAACAACAGAGACTATCTATTACCCAGACTGCCATCATCCCAGGCTCCTATAGTCTTCATAGTGTTGGCAGGACAGGTGTCAGGACAGCATCAGTCTTGGCTGCTGGGCCCATAATGTTAAATTTTCCCTGTTGAGGAGCAACTTGGTAAAAACTGACCTTATCTTGTCAGTGTCTCATAGGCCAAATCCCTGGCAGCAGGTGTTGAGTCAGAGCATCTTGCCCAGTGGTCGGTGTTGTCTGCAATTCAGGTGGCATCTTTTTGTCATTGCTCCATATCTTCTTTGGAGACCTTGGGAGTCATTGCTAGGAGCTGGGGAGCTTGGAGTCTCTGTTTGCTATAGTAAGCTTTTTATCCAAATAATGTAAATGCCATATTTATCAAATCTTGACAAGTTTGAGGACCATTATCTATTAAATGTATCTGAGCCAAACAAATCTAGGCCCAATCTTGAAACTATCTCTAAGTTTGGTAACAATAGCCAGGTCAATTTGTTCACCTATAGATATATTAGTTAAATATACCTCTCAGTTTTTTTTTTATTAAAATAGAACAGTTTATGCTTTAAACTAGTATCTGAATAGCCAGATGACTAGTATTAACTTGTATTCCTTAACATAAAGGACATGCAAACTCAGACATTCAAAACCAAACATACATGTGGCCACATTTTTCATTCATACCTGTAGAGTAGACAGACATTTTTACAACTATGACCCTTTGGAGTCTCAATGTAACAGCAGAATAGCAAGACAAAGAAATCTGAAACATGTTTCATTTTTTTTTTTTTATATCTCAAGTCATTTTTTTTAAATCATTATTTAAACCTTTTCATCCTCAGACCTTTATACCTTGCTTTTACGTATTCTAATAACTTGCATGTTACATATTTTTTAAAACATTTCTTTATTTTTATATCTAAAACCTTTATATCTTATATCCTATATAAATTTTATTTAAATCTTATAATTTAAACTTTAAAGTTAAACTTTAAAGTTCTATATTCTTATATCTCAAACTATTTATTTAGACCCAAAATATCATATATTTAAACCCTCATGACACGCTTAAGCCTTTAAATTTTTATATCTTAAACTGCTTTTTCAAACCAAAAAAAATCATTTATTTAAACTTTTATCCTCATATCTCAAGCCTTCGTATTTTTATAAAAGCATTATATTTTATCTTAACCAACAATAATTTGAAACCAATTCTCTTAAATGATGGCAAGTATTTGTAACCCACTGAACTCAAATGACCAAAACCCATTGTTATACCCAGATCGCCCCAAAGAAGCCACCTAGAGACTTAGGTACAGAATGCAAAAAGCAAGGTTCATTCAAATGAAGTCAAAGTTTACAAGCCCCGGCAGGGGGCTCGTTCCAAATCTCTCATGCACAGCAGGGAGATTGGAAGGAGCACGCCCTTTCTTTGTGAGGCTAGTTCTTAAAGGCACAGACCACATAATTCATCTCTCACAGCCTGCCTCCATTCTTTCTGGTTCATATCAGTATGTTATCAGTTCATATCAGTTATGTTATCTTTATTTCTTGTTTGTTAAACAACCGTGTCTACGAGTTTTACGAGCTGTCTCCAGGGTTCGAGAAGTTTGGGATGTTTTATGACCACTTAGCCTCTGTCAGATGGTCATATATTCGGACTCTGTGTTTTTTTTTAAGTTTCTGTAGCTGATAAAGCCACCTGGGAAAAAAGGGGTCTAACTTCTTATCTACACATAGGAATCTTGGTTTAGGCTCCTCTTTGTCTGTAGGGGATAGAGGAAGGGGGGTTATTGAGGTTTCACACCATGTAAATTTTTATTTTTCCTGTGGAAACAAAAGCATAATTTTCCCAGTATCTTGAACTGATAATTTTAACATTTCTTTTTAAGCAATACCAGGACAGAGAAGGGTTAACAAGAGAAGCTGCTGGCCGGCAGAAGAGACCTTGAAGTTATTATCACAGTAAAGGGAGGGAGGGGGAGCAGTGGGCATAGAGCGTATCCTTGGCTGCCAGTGTTCCTGAAAAAAAGTTTTTGTTAACTCCTCTGACTAAAGTCAGATTATCTGTTCAGTGTTCACACAGTTTTTGTCAATTGCAGGCAGTCCCCATTGCACTGTCCAGAGCTCCTGTCTTTGCCCGCCTGTAAGAAGAGCGCGCACCCCCACCCTCGTGAGAGCGGCCTGCTGGCTGCAGTCCTGATAGCAAGAGAGCTAAGGAGGGACGGAGGTGGCCTTTGTTATGCCTCTCTTTCCTCCTCTTCCTTTAGGAAAATAAGGGAGGTTAGTAGACAGAAACAAATAACATTTACAGAGACAATCCAAGAACCGGAGCATCAGCACTGAGACGACGGCCTCATTCACAGCCAGCAAGTCCCTCTTACAGTATGCAAGCCACACCTGGCAGGAGCTACCTGTTTATCTCAGTTCAATCGGGGAGTGGGGGTGGGGGACCCAGTTCCCTCTATTGTGGCTCACATATCCTTCCAGTGGGCTAGGCAAAGGTCTAGTGGAGAAGAAGGGAACTGTCCCATAGCGTCCGTCATGGTCAAGTCAACAATGAGAACAGTTAATACATTACACACAAGACCAAGGGCACATGAAAAAACTTTGCCCCAACAAAACAACCAACAAAGTTCCAAGAACAATGACAGCCTGATGTGCTCTGGGTGGGGGGAGGGCAACCCTCCAGGCTCAATCACACCAAAAACAATCCAGACTGGAGGATCTCTATCCTTAATCAAACAGACATCAGGGGCTTCCACATCCCTGTCAGTCAGACATGCACCTTTTTTTTTTTTCTTGGAAGAGAAGGAGAGAGTAAAGTAACAATGATCACAACAAAACACACACACACAAAAAAAAAAAAAAAAAAAAAAAAAACCATAAAATGGCTCTGACAATTTCCTGGGACAAAATACAAAGTGGCACTTCCTCCCACCGTGGGGGAAGATACCCAAAGATGCTCCTAAACCAAATGGTCACCTCTGAGGTAGCCTTAGGGCTCTGGGACGTCTCCCTTGGCCGCCAGGTTCACTGTCCGGACACGTCTGTCCCAGTGAGAGCCTGCAAAGTACAAATCAAGCCTGCAAAGTACAAAACAAAAGTAACAAGACAGAGAGCGCTCTTACCGGTAAAACATCTCTAATCACACCATAAAAACTAAAAAAGGCATGGGGACATTTTCCCCCTCTCTGATTAATTTGTTAATATCTTTTCCAACTTTGTTCCAAGTCAAAGGGTGAATTCCTGGTCCATTAATCACTAACCAGGGACATTTCTCCTCCATATATTGGAAGAATTTTATTAAATCCTTTTTTTTTTTTAACTCTTATTCCTCTCTCCCTAAGATTACCTTTCATCTCCTTTAGAAAAACAGCCTCTTTAGATAAATTTTTTGCCCATGATCGATGGGACGACATATTTACCTCAAGACTCTCCCACGTTGCACTTGTGATGCAGTCCGGGCGTCTCTACCCTGATCCTCTCCGGGGCCCCTTCTGTTGTCCGTCGTCCGGCAGGTCACCGTGCCTCGGGCCCCACGTTCGGGCGCCACTTGACCCGTCCCGAGGGCCAGGTTATTGGGGAGACCCGAGGAGGCACCTCCTGAAAGATCAATGGGGGCGAGAGAGAAAGGAGACCAGGCGCAATAAGGGAAGACAGAGTCAGTCTGAGTCGCGTCAAGGTCTCGTTTATTGACTGGGTGTTGAGGCTTATAAGCAGGGCTTCAGGCAGGGAGGGGGAGCAGGGGAAGCAGGGATAGAGAAAATTCCTAAGGGAGGGGTCAGGGGCGAGGTCGCTTTGATCCCGGGCCCCCTGCAGTTGACAGGCTCCAGAAAGTTTACCTAATCGCCATCTCCTGCAGTTAGGTCAGGAAGTTCTTATCTAGTCACATCTCCTGCAGTTAGGTCAGGAAGCTTTGTCAAGGCTTGACAAAGTCCAGGACATAGCTGTCCGGAGTCGGTCTCCCACAGGAGACAAAGAGAGATGATGAAGGCAAAGCCTGGATGATGCATCTCTAACCCAAGGGATGCTTTGGGTACCAGCTTCCACCTGGAACTATCTCCCTCACATCCCTTAGAGGGAACCAGCCTGGCTCCAACACCTGAGCCCAGACATCAGCCTTCAGAATTGTTGGACAACATTTTTGATCTTGAAGCCTCCCAGCTGTGGGATATGGCTACATCAACTCTGGGAAACTCTTATGGGAAGCCCAGTGAGGTTCAGGTAACAGAGCTAATGCTTTACTGTCATCTGGAGACACAGCACAAATTTTCCTCTCTCTCCCAAGTGTTCACAGTTTGCAGCTAGAAACAGCTCATCACCACTGCCCCAAAGCAGCCAAGCATGGCTGAAAGTCTGGAGCAGGACTGTGTTGCTGAGAAGTGGATCTCCAGTCTTCATTCTTCACAAGCCAGCTCCTTCCAGTGTCCTAGACCACCCAGAGCCCAGAAGAGACTCTTCCTTCTCCTAGCACAGTCCCTCAGAGGGAAGTCCCCAGATCCCTGGGGGTTCCAGAGACCATGAATGATGGCATTTGACTTCCTTTTTTTACTGTGTCTGATGTTGCCAAAGTGACAGTGGGGATTTTCCCAGAAATAGAGGAACCAGAAGTAACCATTTTGTCCATCCCCAGAAGATATTCATAAGTGGACCAGGAAGGTAGCCAGTATCACCAAAAAGATCCTTGATGTCATTGGAGGACCATTCATTTTATTAAGCCAAGAGCCATCAGGTCACAGCTTCCCAGTGTTTTCTGTGACACAATGAAATGCAGGCTAAAACACGACAGGTCAGCTAGAATTCCACGCTGCCTCAAGAAAAGCAATCGCACGATTCATTTAAACCGCAGCTAAATGACCCCTTTTCTCTTCTTCCTCTCTTTTTCCTTTTCCACAGGACAGTGTTGTCACTTGAAGGAACACCCGACATGGCCGCCAGCATTGACAAGTGCTCTTGAAGTGTGCGTTGAGCCTGTCTTGTCAAGGAAAAATATCCAAAGTCTACATTGTCCATGATGAGATTTTAGTTAATGCGCAAGTTGCAATTTCAGGAAACTTCAATCTGTCTCCATGAGTAGGTCACTCTGATTTGTCCATGGCTGGTGAGTATGACTTCTGATAATGGTGTGATAAGACTGTCCATGTTGGCAAGAGTTGGCCAGTGCATGACATGTAATCAGGCATGGACTGAGTCTTAATTCCAAGCATTCTATTGCAGAGAGTCATGGATCTTAACATAACAATACAAAATCCCCATTGCTCCGGCTTCAGATTCCACACTGCATCTGACCTGTAGGAGCCACCACTCACTGAGTTTCTCTGCACTGAAAAAAGCCATCTTTATGTGCAAAGAACTGCACTCCTCCCTCCCAAGACACACTTGTGTGTGACACACTTGTGTGCAGCTGTCTTGGTCGCACATGTTGTCAAAATAACATTTCAGAATGGGTTGGATGTAGAAATAGAAACAAGAACCCAAATGCCTTTTCATGAAGCCAGACGTCGAAAAGATTTGAAAAAAAAAAACCCACAATGATACTCTGGTCACCAAATTTTCATGACAATTTATTTAGGCTAACCTGAAACAGGCTTGTGACTATTCAAAGAAACTCATAAGTAGATGTAAAAGACTCTCCATTTTTGCCATGACCAATATCCTTATATAGAACGCATATTAACAAAGCTGGAGTTGCAATGGTTTTTATTGATGTAAAGGGAGCCTGAAGCAAAAAGTTCTGAGGATCTGTTTCCGTTCAGTTGCTGGGATAGAACACTCAGACCAAAAGCATCATGGGAACAGAAAGGGATGATTTCGGTTTATAGGTTACAGATCATCATTGAGGAATTTCAGGGCAGGAATTCAACCAGGTGCTTGTCAGGAGACCTACTTGCTAGTCCACACAGCTTTATCTGTGATCAAGGAACTCACTCACAGCCACAGAAACCATGGGGAAATACTGCTTTCAGCTCAGGTTCATCGGCCCAAGGAATGGTACCACCCACGGTGGCCTGGGTCCCCTTACGACAATTAATAATCAAGACAGTCTTGCACAGACATGCCACAGGCCAGTCTGACCTTGGGAACTCCTCAGTTAAAGTCCTCCTTTCATGTGATTTCTGTGCTGTGGCAAGCTGATAGTTAAGGCTCACCAGGGTTCTGCTGAAGAATATTCGTGAAAATTGAATATACACCATGGTGGAATTAACTTTAAAATAAAATTGTATTGATGGGTATTGTGTGTCTCTCTATGAGTGTGTCCCACGTCTGGAGGAGGGGCTGCTGGTGGAGACCAGAAGGGGCATCAGAGCCCCTAGAAAGGGAGTTAAGGGCAATTGTGAGCAGCTTAGTGTGGTTGCTGGGGACTGGACGCAGGTCCTCTGGAAGAACAGTGAGTACTCTACCATGGGGCCATCTCTCTAACCCCCCAAATCAAAATTTAAAACCACACGACAGCCCAGTATTTGAAAATGAGCCTCTCTTCACTTCTGAAAACCTTATGTATCACAAAGAAATGTCAGTGCGGTGCAGTTCATAGCGAGAAGGGAATTACAGCAGAAAGGCAGCAAGCCAAAGGTCATGGCATCTAAATAAAAGCAGACTTAGAGGAAAGTTTGTTGTGCTAATTTATACATGAGAGAGAAAATACTAGAACATAAGTGAGCCACAAAGAACAAAACCCCAGAAGGAAATGGAGGGCAGAGGATGAAGAAGTCAGAATAAAAGTTGAAACTGCAGCCATTCCATGGAGGGGTCAGCCTAAGAGAAAAGTTGGTCCTTTGAAAAAAATTGAAAAAATTAGGAAGTCCACAAAACTTTCCTGAAGAAAAATGGAGAAGGTGCAGATTGCCGACACAAAGAATGAAATAAATTATAATATAATGGGAAGGAAATTATCTACAGACTTTAGAAAAATCACAACTTCTCAAAGCCACAAAGAAAGAAATTGAAAATAGGTATATTTTTAAATCTATTAAAGAAATTAAATCTCAGTGTCAAACATTCTCAGAAGTCCAGGTTCAAATTGACTCAAATACTTTAAGGGGCGATACCTCTCCTTCAGCTTCGTGTTCATGCGATGGAACCATCTTTCTAATTCACGTCACGAGACAGCATAACTTTACGGAAAGCTGACAAGGGCTGTACAAGAAAGAAAAATTGCCAGTCAATTTCTTTCATGAATGCAAATGCAAAATCTTGAACAAAATGCCAGCAAATTGAATTCCATCACGCATAAATAGAATAATACATTAGGACCAAATCAAGTCAAGTTCAGCACTATAAGATTGGCTTATCATTTAAAAATCAATGAATGAGGCCAGAGAGATGGTTCAGTGGGGGAAAAGTACCTGCTGCCAATACTGATGACCTGAGTTTGATCCTCAGGAGAAGAGAATTGACTCCTGCAAGTTTCCCTGACCTCTGCATGCATGCCATGTCACTCAGGCTTAAATATGAATACATACAAATAAATAAACAAGTAACTTAAAAATAAAAATAAATGTGTGTGTGTGCACATAACCATACATTGTTCTATAAAGGGGATTATGGGTTCTTGGGGGCTGGAAAGATGGCTCAGCAATTGAGAGCACTGGCCGCTCTCACAGAGGACCCAAGTTCAGTTCCCAGAATCCATGTGGTGGTTCACAACTGTCTGTAACTTCACTTCTAGAAGAACTAGACTCTCTCTTATAGCCACTCTGGACACTGCATGAATATAGTATGTGAACATACATGGAAACAAAACTCTCATACATTAAGATAGACAAATCTTTTTTTTTTTTTTTTTTTTGGTTTTTCAAGACAGGGTTTCTCTGTGTAGCTTTGCGCCTGTCCTGGATCTCGCTCTGTAGACCAGGCTGGCCTTGAACTCACAAAGATCCTCCTGCCTCTGCCTCCCGAGTGCTGGGATTAAATCTTTTTAGGAAACAGAGATGTTGGTTTCTATCTGACATGTAAGAGCTTAAAAGTTACCATCACAGCCACAAGCCACCAAATGCACCAAATATCAAAACTTCTTCAGTCCTCATTGAACCAAGGTCCCAGGACAACCTAACACTGCATGGCTGAGACCAGCAGGCACCACTCAGGAGAGCAGGAGCTCATACTTCCCAGTGTGGAGAGTTTAAAACCCCAGGAGAGGAGCTTCAGGAACCCCACCTACCACCATGACCTCCTCGAGAGTCCAGCTAAGAGGATGTGTCTTCTGCGAGGCCGCTGGGGTGCAGTTGACTGCCTTACAGCCTCCATCAGGTTATTTGAAGCTGTCGTCTTTCCGTTCACATTTATGCCTCCAGCATCCGAGTTTCTGATTTTGTTTCCCCGGATGGTTTGCATCTCTCAAGATGTTTCTCTGGTCCTTGGTCCTTCTCCTAGGCCACTAATTTGTGCCCAAGTCGAGGACATCATCTCTCTGCTGACATTCACTTACACGTTTTTGGTTCAAGACTAATTCTTTAGCCCTCATCCTGATGACATTGGGTTCTCAAGTTCTCCATGCTGTTTGCAGCCAGGAAGCAGCCTCGGGGGTCCCAATTCTTCTACAGCAAGGCTACTGCCCTGTGTGAGAAAAGGCCAACAGGATACCCTGACCAGCTTCCCTGAGGCTGCTCCAGGACAGAAAGTAGAGACTGGCATCACCCTTTCCACGGTCCACAAGTCGCCACGAGCTCTGTTAAGGGCACTACCTCAGACATCTCCACAGTCCACAAATGAATAACTGTGACCATGTGCCAATAACACTTTATACAAACATAGGGAACAGGTAGATTTGACATAAAGCCCTAGCTTCCCAACCTCTATGGTCAGCCTGTACACCGTCATTACTGAGATCCACATATACTACACTCTCCTTGAGAAAGCATGGAGTACTCAGCCAACTGGAGACAGAAAAGAGAGCAGGATTCTGCAGCTATAACTAAGGTCCCAGAGCATTTGAGTTCACCAAGAGAGGGCTTATCCTGG